CACATAAGCACCATATCAAAGGAATAAAGCCAGGTATGTTTACATGCCCTGGACATAGAATCATAAAATCATAGAATCATAGAATAGTTAGGGCTGGAAAGGACCTTAAGATCATCTAGTTCCAACCCCCCCTGCCATGAGCAGGGACACCACACACCAAACTATGTCGCCCAAGGCTCTGTCCAATCTGGCCTTGAACATGTTCTTAGAAAGATATTTAATTTTACAGATTGATAGAGACAAGGATGTCTCTTAAACTTCTAATGTATTTATTCCTTAATCTTTTCTGTGATAAAGTCTCTTCCTATGAATATGATACCGCGTTCTGTTTTTAGACTCCTCAGCTTGTTTGCTACTTTCTCTGTGCTAATGAGACATATGTGCTTTCTGCTTTTCTCATGAACTTCATCAGTTAATCTGTAAGACCACTGACTTTACCATATTATATTAAAGTCTGTCTTCTATGCTGATACATTCAAAACCTCAATGTTTTTAAGAACAGAAGTTAAAGATCCACTGAAATAGTGAATCTAAACTATATTGGATCAGCCATAAGGAATCACAGATCCCTGAGTTGCAACTGCTCTGTTCATTTTGCCAGACTATTTAAGTGTAAGATTTTGTGATGAGGGTAAAGATTCTTTTGGAAACAGGAGAGTATGAATATGTGGAAATTCCTGGGACAATAAAGAGGGATAGGAATCTCAGGACAAAATATTCATATCAGGGATACTATTACCATAGAATATCGTGTAAGATCACAACGTACTCTCTGGTTTTGAAAACTAGTTTTAGGACAATTTTCAAAGCTGTTGGTATAAATCAAATTCAGAACAAATTAGAAGGACAGTAAAATTCTACTCGAAGTTTTCTGATAACTGTTTGAGTATCTAAGCACTTTTTCTATTGGCCTGTGGGCCTGTACAAACACATACGTTTTAAAAAGTTGATACCTTCTTTACATGAAATTTAATATTGTTGCGTGGATCAAAAGGATGCTTCAGAATAAAAATATAACCTCAGACTTTTTCTAAGCAAAGTATTCCCTACTGGGAGGCAAAAGAAAATACTATCAGGAAGGGAGCAGAAATTATATTGAAAGTAGCAGACAAGACTAAGTTTATGATTCAAAGAAAACAGACATTTCAATGCCAACATAGGTATCACATATACCTTTAATAGTTAATGAACACTGGATAAGCATGATTGGAAACACCTAAAAATTATATGCAAGGTCTGAAATCCTTTTTTATTTTTAAAAAACAAGAGAACTTTAAAGTTACATAATTACTCATGTATATTAGGCTTACATTTATTCAACTGAGGCAATGTGCATTTGCTTAGCCACAGATGAATATAAAAAAGATGCTATTCATCTAAAACAATGTTCCTTTTACTTATCGTAGCTGCCATGTGATGTACATGTCCCACTGAAATGGAAAGATTTTCACAGTGTTATAAAATATTCATTAAAAATTTTCAGGCAACTTGCAATTCAAAATGTTTCACAATATCTGCACTGGATCAAAAGGTTTTGTTTTGGTTTGATTTTTTATGTTTTTTTTTACTGACTCTGCTTTTACATGTATTTATTCAAATACCTTTCTTATCCATTTATTCTGTTTTAATATCCTGCTTTAAAGCCACATTTTGATGCAGTGCTTTGTATGTGGCATAAATTAAAATTTGAATTCCCTGATTTATACATCTGTAAAAATTTGATACAGTATTATTTGGATTTCCAAAGGAAAATGGTCACAATAATAGCTAATAATGGTTTGTATTTGTTAGGTGGGAGCATTAATTTATAGGGAAGAAAGGATAATGGATAAGGAAAAGAAGAGGGAGCAGGAAGAATATTTTCATAAGGCTGCATGGAACACCCATACCATTTTGGTATTAGTTTTCAAAACTAATTTGCTCTGGAAAATTACTGCTGATAAAGAAGACAGTATATTCCACTGAGGCTTCTGTCCTGCTGGGGAGCCCAGACAAAGCTGTTTACAAACAGGTCCTATTTCCAAGGCTCCAGGTGAGTGGTTTTGTGCCAGTGGCAACTGAGCCTTCTTTTGTTCTGGGAAGCATTCCACTAACTTCTGACCATCATTCAGAACTAGTTTCTGTATGTCAAGAAGCCAAGACTGGAATATCTGGTAAATCTAGACACAACTGCTGTTATACATCAGATCTGATGTTTTGAGACTTCATTGTCCTCCATTCTCATGGAGTAAGGGGTTTGTTATTTGAAACCAAAAGCTAGTTGTTCCTTTCCTTTATATGAAGTGGCCTGTTATGCCTGCTCTAAAATGCTTGCTGCAGTGATGTGCAGTACAATTTAATGGAAAATGCAAATTCTTGTTTTAAAGAATACACAGAGAAAGATGGGTTGCAATTCCTATCTCTTATATCCCAGTTTCCTTATTTTACATTGTAATTCAGTGATCAAAAAGATCAGTGTAGTCAAAAAGATCAGTCCTTCTGCCTATTGAAAAAAATGTACCTGTTTCTGGAAGATGGTGCTAATCCCCACTCAAGAGGTGACAGCCACCAGAGGTTCCCTACTCTGGTGATTAGGAGGAGCCCTTAACAAAGTTGTGGGACAAAATGCATGTAAAAATAAGGATTAAGTCACCATTCCCCTGGCCAGCTGACTGTAAGATGTTTTCATTCATTATACAGAAGTGCTTCTCTGAACATTGTTCCCAGATTCAGTACCTCTCCAGATTAACTTTGTGTATAACTAAGTCAGCTCATGTAGAACTGTGGACTGAGACTACGTTCAGTCTATATTGCTGCTCTCAACATTACAAAACATATTCTCTTCTGATCTGCTTCTCAAGCACTGTGTGCAGCCTTTTTGAAGTTTTAATGATGCATATTCACACACAGAGAGTAGCTTGTAAGAAATCAATTTTACATATCTTAGTGGCTAACATTTTGTACATTACAGTAAAAAGTCAGTATGATGCTTCCAAACAATTTCAGTCCTCTTAGATCGTGTGGATTTGATGAAGGTATAAATGATGTTTCGATCTATGATTTGGGGCTGCCTTAGGAGACAGGAGAAATATCTACCAGGAGTTCTGGGTGTCCTCTGAGAATTTCTGTCTCAGTTGTGACAAAAGATTTTTTGATGCAGCCATAGCTCCAAAAGGAAACAGAATTAGATCAGATACAGAGCAGTTTGCTTTTTTAAAAAATGAAATGCTTGGCAAGAAAAAGCAGCAGGTAGTGAAACAAATCAAACTCATTTGTGGTACAGGCCCTCGGAAAGCTCAGAATGTGTAGGCATAAACCATATGAACAGCATTTCTACTAGCTGCCTCAGTTTCTCAGAGTAAACTAGTCAGATCACATTAGACATTAATTTGTTCTTCATAAACCACAAACAGTTATCAGATGCAGGTGCCTAAAAATCTGTTGTGATTAAAAAAACACGTGTCCTGGAAATTAAAGTGTCCAGGCTTACACAGTACTTGAAAGTAATGTACCTGACAACAGATAATGTACAAGAAAGGGGCATCACTGAACGTAGGTTTATTCCTCTATAGTACGTATGGACCGAATGAGTTACCCTCTCTGACTTACTATGAATTTATAATGCTGTTTCTTAACATTTATATTTGTCTATGCTAAAGATGCAATAATTTATTAACATGGTAATAAATGTTTAATACTCCTTGTGTATATTATTTTGTAGAACTACCACCTTAACCCCCTGATTCTGGAAAATATAAAGGAGGACAAACATTAAACTAAAGCAAGGCTGGTTTAAATATAGGTGTATTTGTATGCAGAATTTTTAGAATGTTGCACTTGTTCGTAACCTCTGCTATTGAAGGCAACTGAGATGTTCAAGACATAGGGTGGAATCTCACGTTCATTTTAAGGTGTTGTGACTGGTAGTTATCATTCAGGTTGGGTACTTCTTTTTAAACAACCATCCACATAGCTATAGAAGCATTTTAACGCAGACGTTAAAAAAAACACACCAAAACCATAAAAAATTAAAATAGTGAAATTGGTTTAAAAGTTAATCAATATTTAAAAAAATATTTGGTCCTTCCTCCCTCCTCCTCCTCCCCCTTCAATTGGAATTCACCTATTTCACTTCTGAAGGCCTCCTTTTCACAGTTTTCAGTCTTAGGTAGGTACTTTAGCTTTTCAAATCAGCTGAGATTTAAATTCCTGAAGAAAACCAATAAAGGTAACATAACTTCCTGCGATATTCTGATAACTGGTGATATTACTGAGACCATTGAATACCCCAGCCTGCTTTCCTGGTTGTTCAAAATCCATGAACTTTATAGGTCATACTGGAAACTTATGGTTGGATGGGATATGAATGCTTCTGATTTTCTGTGTAAATTGAGATGTCATTTCCAGAATGCTAACTGTTCTAAATTATGCAAAGCAATTTTCCTGAAGGCTCGTGTAAATTTCCTAAAGATTCGGAAAATAGGTAATACTCAGTCATAAAATAGTCTGTTCAGAAGAAACCAAGCTTTAGGTGGTTAACAAAGTATTTGTCTGATGCATCAAGTTTAATGAGTTAGGTATTACTAAAATGCACCAGAAATCAAATCAGATTCTACAGTTAGTGGCATCTTGCAACATCATGAAAACTTTTATGAATAAGCTTTCTAAATTATTTTTTACATTTTCCTCATGGCAATTTTAATCTGTGTACAAAATCAGCTTAATAGCATTTATCAAGTTTTAAAAAGATGAAACATTTTAATACAGCAATTGATAAAATACAGTTTAAAAAGGAACTAAAACAAGTAAAAACATTTAATTCATATTTTTGCCATTTATCAGTTCTTAGTTATCACTGTAATATCAATGTGTTCTTGCAGCTGTAGACATAAAAAAGGCTTTTGATTCACTTTCTAAACTGATACTTGGACAAGTGAATTCTCAGCTTGTTCTTTTCCCTGTTATCATATAAAGACATTAATATAATTCTTTCTTCTTCCCTCTCTCTTTCTCTTTTCCAGCAATGACAATGCAGTTCATAAGTCATCGGTTCCCTGAATATCATGATCCAACTATAGGTGAGTAGAGATTATTCTCTTCTTCATCCCTTTCAATCTCTTTGCCTGTTTGAGGTTGTCATACATGAGAAGTTACTCCTAACTAACATTAAACAGAAACAAGATTTGTAAACTTTAAATTAAACCTTAATTTTGTGATAGCAATGACATTGTTTCATGATTTTATTATACTGTAATTACTTCTACCTGAAATGTTTTACAAAATTTCTTTCAACAGATTTGTGGCTTCATACTCTGTAACTACTAATGTCCATGCAATTTTAATTACAAAATATAAATCAAAAATATTACAAGATAAAAAAAATAAATTTTCAAATACTAAAATGATACATAAACTCCAGTCTGAAGTGTGCTTTTAAAAGTTGTTATTTTAGTACCGTTTTCCATTATTAAGCTCTCAGTTGACCTTCTCTAGAAAAATCAAGTGACTATTGAATTTAACATACTAGAGTTGTTCTCTTGCATCACATACACTATTAACTCCATTGGGTTTAGCTGCATTATAAACTTCAGTAATGATAAATATTCACATGTAACTGCAATATACTGAAATATACTTTAAATGCTGACCATTACATTTCTGTTTAGTTGGAGTACAATGGGATGGTCTGAGATGGAAGAGAGATCTGGGATGGATTCTGGTTGAGTGATTTTCTATTTCTAAATCAGTTAACTCAAAAAACTGTGACAAAAATTGTCTCATTAAAATGATTCCATTTTTTCTGCCCTTCTGAACTGTGTACAAATTGGGCAGATATTTTCAGGGTATAAACCCAAGTAATTTAATGTCTGGAACAACCTTGGATTTGTATTGTTGTATTGGGTATCATGTGCACACGTCCTGTCAGACACCTAGCAAACACTAAGCTGAACCACATGTGACAATATGGTTCACGGTATGCTGGACTGCATTTGGAGGAGCATTGACATCAGGCTGAGAGAGGTAATCCTTCACCTCTCTACTCAGTACTGCTGAGGCCACACCTGGAGTGTTGTGTCTGGCCATGGGGTCCCAGGAAGAGTTTGGCCAGAGAGGTTGTGAAGTCTCCATCCTTGTAGATACCCAAAACTGTACAGACGTAGTCTTGGGCAGCCAGCTCTAGGGGGGGCCTGCTTAAGCAAGGCCTTGGACAAGATGTTCTCCAGAGGTCCCTGACAACCTGAACAATACTGTGACTCTATGGTGTCAAGAGTGGTCACCAAAAGACCAAAAGTCTTGCTGTTGAGCATCTTGCAGGCACTATAACAATTATTAATATAAATGAATGTAATAAAAACCATGTGTGACATTGAGGCATAAATCAGCAGAACTGAATATTTATTCATTTGAGAATGTCTTTGTTAGTTAGTTTTACGTCCAGTAAAAAGTCCTCGCATTTATAGGGATTATCCATATGTAATATTTAGTTATACCAAGCAAAAGATGGCAGAATCTTGGTCTGATAAGTGAGAGGCACTAAAAATACTAAAATTTACAAAGATTTTTTGAAAAATAAAAATAAGAGTAATAAAAAGTGTTTCTAACCCTCTTAGCCAGAAAATTTTTTGTTATCTTAGAAATATTTGGATATTTAAAACTCAGATTTGTCATCTATAAAATTACTCCATTTCTAGGTAAAGCATCTAATGGTAGCACTTCCTTCAATTTGTTATTTCTACAGAATTGTACATTTCCTGTATATTAATTCCCAGTGAATTGTGGTATTTTAATGATAAGAAAAAAAATGCGTAAACTCTTCATGTCACTACTAGTTTTATAGCCATTAAAAATATTACAAAATAAGAATGTGATGTGTTAGCTCTAAAGAAGACAAACCTATGATACAATTGCTACAGATTTGTTTGTTGCAAGCAGAAAAAAAAAATCGTTAGATCTAATTGGAAAAAAGGAACATTAGTAGTTACTGATACCATTAAGCTATGTACGTACACCCATCTTCATTATTAACTACCCACCTGCAATCTGTATTTATCTATATATTGTATCCTGTTATAATCTTAATTTATTGGTCTCTAGACACTATCACAATATGAATAATAGATAATCATAAAGAGAAGGAAAGCTTATGATGCATAGGAATGCCTAGAGAACTTAATCAGGATGAAAGTCTCCTTGAGTAAGAGACAGCTTCTACTCAGTAAAACCAACACTCTAAATAGGAGAAAAGAGAGAGGGAGACAGAACAGGGAAACAAAATACTGAATTCAAACTCACACAGCTGGCTGGAAGCAGGACTGGAAGTACCGCTTCAAGTTTTACCTGTTCAGCACTTCTTTCTCTTTGAACATGCTGAGGACATCCTGAGACAGGCCTAATTCTATTCATGCTCTGAAACATGTACTAAACAGCAGAGTATAATCTTCGACTAAATATGTGTATTTCTTTTTGGGTAAATTTGTTGTAAGACCCCTCAAAATAGGACATAAACTCCCAAGACAAACAGAAGGAATAATGTTATCTGACCTGCAATAACAAATACATTTAAAAATCTCAGTACACTGGAAAATTTTATACTGTTGAGATTGTTTACTACTTTTGAGACCCCAGTTGCAGATCACAGAATTTATCTTACCTTTTGTTTGTGCATCCACTAGTAGGCATATTTTGGCTATTTTCCATTGGTTTAAAACAATATTAGGTGATCCAGAATGAGCATATTCATGGCCAAGACTATGTGATGCCAGGATTTCACAGAATCATAGAATCATAGTATAATTAGGACTAGAATACTCAAAATTATCTAGGTCCAACCCCCTGCCATGGGCAGGGACACCTCACATAAGACCATAACATCCAAGACTCTGTTTAACCTGGCCTTCAGCGTTGCCAGGGATTGAGCATTTTGCCAAATAAGAGTTTATTCCTCAAAGGTCTCAAGGAGCTAGCCACAGACAGATGCTTTGTGTTATGCATTTTAGAACACTTTAATTCCTCAGCAATTTGTATCCTATTTATGGAGCTCATGAGCTGTCCTGAACTTCTCTGGGCACGCTGACCTCAGAAGATCGATAAACTCATCTTGTATATCGGTTAACAACACATGAAATACCTGAAACAAGGCATCTACAATAGTTTTTGCTTTGACTTTAAAATAAATGGCTGCCAACTGGTTTTCATGTTCTATTTCATAAAAGCCCAAATCCTTTCAATCCTGAGAAATGTTCTGAAGTTCGATTCTTTTGGTATAAAGAATATATTTTATGTTCTGACCTATTCTTTGCTTTATAGAAGAATACCCATGGGCAATTGGCTTTTGAAGGTTTTTAGATTTTTTTTTTCCCTCCTTATTTTTATTTTATACATCATCTGTAAACCAATAAAACAGTGAGCTTTAAAGGGAGTCTAAAGATGAGAACTTATTTCTCTTTTGTCTAGTCCAACATGAGGCTATGGTAAAAACTGCTTACTGTTACTGACCAGAGAATACAGAAGAGTTTTTTCACTGTAATAAGCTGCCAAATGTGCTTCCCCTTCCGATTTCTGCTTCCCTCCAAACACACAGTTACGAATTTATCCTGAACATTATGCAGTAATAATCATGTAGCTTTAAAAGTCCAAAACATTATTTTTCCCCTTTCTGTGACAGTCCCTAGGATCATGGATTTTCTCTATCATTCCTTTTCATTGTGGTTCAACGTTATGTTGCCAATGCATTAGAGTTTTCTTTTTCTACAGTGACTCATATCTCTAACATTATAGAAGAAATATACAATTCAAATCTAATGGTGCTTTGTACTTAGAAATTTTTTTCTCTTATCTACTGACATTTTTGAAATATTACACTGAATCTTCACCACTGAAAGCTGCTGCTACTGTAGGATGATGCAGAATTTTTGTTGCAAGCATATTTCAGTTGCTACGTTATGTAATACATGTGTTCATAGATTTGGATGTCATTCAAACATTTCAAATGCAAGAAATTTGATCCTAAAAGAGCTATGCAAATAGATCTAGAATTATTTACATAGTTTTCTTTATGTGTATATATAGAAACAGTATCTATACTCTTTCCAATGTATTTTTGTTCCAGTAGGAATTTATTCTGAGTACAGTGTGTATCAGACATATGGTGTCAAAATAAATGATGACAATAAATGGTCCTTTCTGATGTATGAAACTGTCTTTTATTTTAGCTGATTGTCTTAGTCTCAAAAGCTGATAAGATCTCAAGAAACACAAGCTGTAGGCATTAGAAAAAGAAATAAATAAATGTGCATACACATAAATACACAAATACATGTGTCAGTTTTTGCTTAAAATATAGAGTAAACATTGATGAAAAAGTTAAATGCTACCTGAAGTGCTAATTTTAATCCTGTCACTTTGAGTTTAATGCTAAGTGGGAATAATGATTGTATTTTAGTTCTGCTACAAATATTGCAGCCCAGAATTTTGAATCAGAATTGATTTATCTTTCTAAGTAAATGGGGAGAGGAAGGACAATTTTTTTTATATATTTTTTTTTTTTTTTTTTTTTTTTAGTATTAAACTGTGTATGGGCAAAATCTCAGAGCTTAGCACTTCTTGAAAATGAAATTATTTCAGCCACATTTAATATTTAATTGTAGTCAACAATGGGAACAATTTCCAAGTGGCAGTGGATATGATCGTTTTCTGGAACAAATGGATAACAGCAGTTTACATTCTGCACAGCCTTTGGCAATATCGCAGAGAAGTAATGCAAGCAGAGTGCCAGGGAAGGAAGCATGACATAGTGTAGCAAACTGGACAGCCTCCAAGATGCTCATTAAACATGTGACTAATCTTAAAATGAATACATAATGCAAACGAGATGCGAAAGCAGCTTCCTGTTTTGGTGAGATATCACTGCATGAGATTGTGTCAAATGAGCAGTTGAGGGCATTAAGGCTGAGTCAATGTCAGACTTTAATTGAAATGGGTGTAGGATGGGAGGCACTCTAGCATTAAGCACATGAATTTCCATGAGGTTTCCTAACGAAGTAATGCATTTGCCAGAGCATCAAATAAAACACAGTTA